CAGTAGGGTATGTAACAGGATCCGCTTCCATTGTAACTCCATGGCTTGGATGAGGGCCTTACACATTAGCTCAACAGCTAAATTGGTCACAAATTGCCTGCTGATGCAAATAAAGTTGATATCCCAGCACTCTGTAAATGGAGAGGACAAATACAGACGGATCGGAGGCTGCGTGCTTAGCTACAGGTTGTTATATGTTGAATAATTACAACGTAATCCATACATTCAAAATATAAAGTTCACATGTGATATCTCAAGTACGCGTATGAACTTGTGCAGGGAGATGGAGATAGAGTATGTGGGAGTTTGAGGACTGCTATGGATTTTTGTTCTTTTTATTGCAGAATGGCACTGTGGTCTGATATCGATCTTCTGGACTCTGTTTTATTAGGATTCTTAGTCCCTGTAGTATAAAGAGCAAGGAATAGTCTGTGTTTGGACAGAATTTCTTACACTGCGTAGATCTCACTATCACAGCTCACTGATGTAGCAGCTATAATTACTCCACACAGTACTGAAGTAATGCAGCACTATTGCATCTGATGTGGAATGACTGTACAGGCTAAGCATCATTTTGCAGCTTTTATGCAAGGTGGCCCAAATGCTATAAAGGCACAGTCACTGTTCCTTTGCCAACATGCTGATAGTGTCATCATAAAAGAAAGTGGGCATTTATGGTACATCGTGACTTGGAGGCAGATTTTCACAAAGCCATTGAAACAGTTGGAGACGTATCAGCTTTGCATCTGATCTATTATTCACCACATTCCTGGATTACAAACAAAACAAAACAAAACAAACAAAAACAATAGAAAAGCCAGTTCTTGTTCAGCAAATGTGCCCCAGCCTTGCCAATCAATTGGGCTGTCTGAGAGCCTGATCTATAAAGGCAACATAGCCTGAACTGACCAGGAAAGTCTGACATCCCAGTCTCACGTTTGTTTTCAGCAGAATGGTTAACTCTTTCCATTTAGCTTTTACTATTTGTACAATGAGAATAGCAGTAGCTTTTTACCAAAGGAAATTGTGAGATTTGATTTGTTGATAGGTGTGTGCAAAAGGACTGTGGAATCACGGATCAAAGCTGCTAAATTAAAGGAAAATGTTGCTTATTTGGAGTTCTGGCAGTAAGGAATGACTGCTGAGCTGGGGAAACAGTTGAGATTCTTTGAGTATTGAAAAACTCCAGGAGAGCGCAGTATTCCTCTCCTTCTGTCTTCAGCATCTTCACCAGTAAATGTGCAGGGGTAAAGAGCATCTGCATGGTTCTTCTACATTTTTGTTGACCCCTGCTGATGTAAATCAAACACACTGTCCTCCTGTTATCTTCAGATTTAGAAAACCTATTTTAATCACTTCATACAGGTACCTAATTTGAATCAGCCTGCCAAGCTGCAGGGCTCTTGTGCTTTTTTAATTGGCATCTTTCTTGTTACATTTGAACATAGTTGTAAAGACACCGCAGAACATGAGCAGAGAAAACTAAATCACCATTCCTGTTGGACTGGCAGTGTGATTGTGTGTATAGCAGGGGAATCTGGAGGATATGAACGTGTTCTGAAGGAGACTACATGGAGGAAATCCAGTTCAGATATGTTTGGCATGAGTGTTTCAAGGTCTTGCCCACAGTATCTGGCAAAGAGCTGCAACAGAAATTTATCTGGAATTTTTAACACTAGTATGGTATCCTTACATTCAGCCTCAGACCCATGTAGGTTATTGCAATACATGGGATCAGGTGTTTTCACTTGGAATCAGTCTAACAACCTATCTATAACATCTATAATATCTGTAATATCTATAATATCTATAAGATCACTAAGAACCTCAAACTGTGTTTCTGATCTGCTCTTTCTGGATCAGCTGGAAGCTACAAGCTGGTTTATAAGAACAATTCTTGGTATTCTAGTAAAGCAGAGTCCCTGAAGGTGGTGATGAAACTGTGATGGGGCAGATAAGTGGAGTACGTAAAAAATAATGTGTTAACCCATCGCAAGGATGAGCTTGGTTCAGGTTCATTGAGTCAGTCTTGCTTAAATGCCTGTAGAATTTGAAAACCAGCGTGTATGAAGCTGCTGAAAGGCCAAATTCTTTCAAATGAAGCAGATCATAGCCTCAGGTGTGGTTGTACGACACCTCTTCCAGTTGTGGTTGCATATAAGATTTGTCTAAACTCACCAAGCTGGTGAGCCTGGGAACATAAAAAGGAGAGGAGAGAACAGGGCACTACAGAGCATGTTATTTGGCACTGAAGCACATTCCTTCCCTCTCAGTCTGTCATCCAGAATCTTGTCATGTACAACAAAGACTTGCACAGCCGTATCAGTTCTGGAGGACAGTTTGACTTTCCCTGTTTTCCATTTGCTCTTGAAGATCAGCATGTTCTTAGGGCTCTGAGCTGAAAAGACAGGTTTAAAGAGAAAGAAAAGCAAGTGTTATCTTTCGGGCAGGCCAGGTGGCCTGAGGTATAGTGAGAGACAACCCAACCTCTGCTGTCCCTGCGGTATGACAGGCATGTTCTTGAGCACACGTCATGTGCTGTGCATGGCCAAATGCAGGCTAGCTACTACTCTTTCCTCTTTCTGCAGGTGAAACAAGTGCATTGGCACCAACCAATACTTGAGAGGAAGAGTGGTGGAAATGAGGGGATGGTGAGCAGACCAAAGAATGAACGTTAGCTTGTGGTAAGAATTCTGGAGTACTAAGACATTCTTATAATATCCTCGCTTTGGACTAAACCTAATTTTTCAAATTGGAATTCAGAGACTGTTCATATTATTTAAACTGAATAGCAGTGTCTTGTGATTTTCATCAATTGGCTTTGATACAGACAACTCTTGATAAAATATTTATATTCTTCCCATAACATTCCCCATCATATAACTTTGGGATTGGAAAACAAAGCACTTCGTATGTTTATGGTGCTACTTGCCCATGGAACTATTGTTGGGCTCATTTTACAGATGGAAATACTGAGGCAGTGAGTGATCATTGGTCATTTGGCATGTGTACAGCCAGAACGAATTATATAGAGACCCACAATTAGAAAGTCTCCTGGAGCACCTTCTGCTTTCCTAACCTTACATACCCTTCAATAAGGTGAATGTGGTCATAAGTTCCAGACAAACAAATATATAATGAGGCTAAGTTTTGCTGTATTTGAAGTAACTTCACTTGTAGAGCTGTTTCCATGTACTCCATATGTGCATTTAGCTAAATCTTACTGAAGCAGTTGAACTAAGTCACCTAATAGAGCTTTTTGCTCTTTGTATTTTATTCTAAGGTAAGAAAGGCAGTGTTTTGATGAAGGTGTTAAAGAAAGTAACTATTTGAAAAAAAATGCTTAATTTTTTCTGTATTTACTGTACAGCTATATAAAAATGGGCTGTTTCTAAGCAAAATACAAAAATGTAGTAGCTAGCAGTGAACAAAACTAATCGAATTCACCAGTCACCAGGCTGGTTAATATTATAAAGCCTGCACATGAATCGTGAATATATGGCCAGCCTCAGGATACAAATCCATGAATCTAGGGAGTTTACCTGTCTTCTTAGTAAGCAGGCTATCCCTTTTTGATCACTACAATTTAAGCATATATTGCCTAATAATAAATGTGATAATAAAAATGCGTTTGGGGAAGTAGGATGAGCTTTGATAGAGCTTTGATAGAGCTTTGGATCAAAAACAGATTCATTTTACTTAATTTTAGCCATCCTCCAGATCACTGCCTCACCTCTCCATGTTCTGTAGGCTCCCTCTTCATTTAGGGGCATGGGGAGCTGGGCAGAAGGGCTTTTTAGAAGTGCCTGTCTCTCCACCAGCAACAGGGAGAGCCTACACAACTGCTTCAGATGGGACGCTTAACTTTTAGTTGACTGTGAGTTACTCGAGGTAAATTCCCTGTTAAGCATCAAGAGATTTGGATCCTCATTTGTTTGTCCACTGATTTTCCACATCCCTGGAGGCGTTCAAGGCCAGGTTGGATGGGGCCCAAGGCAGCCTGAGCTGGCGGGGAGCATCCCTGTCCACGGCACAGCATTGGAGCTGGGTGGGCTTCCAGGTCCCTTTCAACCCAACCATTCTGTGGTTCTGTAACTGTGATTCTGTGAATCTATGATTCATAGCACAGCCATGGCAATATCACTTAACTTTTTTTTTTTTTTTTTCCCTTGGACCCAGTTTTTCCAAGTAAAATAATAATTCCCTGCTGATGAAGTTGTTGGAGGAGCTTTGTCCAAGGGCGAAGTCTGGGCACAAAACCTTGTTTTGCCACTTTCATCGTAAGAATCAACAGAATTCCTGTGACGACGTAAGTTTACGCATGACGAGAGGCAGGGCTGGGTGAAAATTATTTTGAAAGCAGTGTAGATATGAGAGTGTATTGTAAAAATGAATGAAGATGTAGCAGTGAGTGATTGCGTGCGTTGGCTCCCCGGTCTTTTGTCTGCACACCTTGCTCCCAGCCTTTCTCCATCCAAAGAACACGAGGAGTGGGGAGAGCGTGTGCGAAGCCAGCCCTCTATTTTAACTACCCTTGGCCTGTTTGGGAGAGCGTCGTGAGAGATTGATGTCTGCTCACGGAACACCGCGCGCCGGATGCGTTGCACCTGTTCAGACATAAGCACGCTATTACAGATGCTGGGGAAAAGGTTCTCGATCCACGCGGGGACGTATTTGGGGAGGGGGTGTCCGATTGTTTACAGGGTCCCTCCTCTCCGAGCCCCGCCGTCCCCTATTGTCTAGGGAGCCGAGCTCCGCGCCCGGCCCCGCCGCGCACCTCCCTGCCCGCAGCGAGCGGAGCCGGCGGGCGGCGGGGAGGAAGGTGCGGCGGGGCCGCCCCGGAGCCCAACCTGTTGCTGCGGCGGCCGAGCGGGGAAGGAGGGCCGTCGGCCGCCCCGGAGGAGGGCTTTGTCTGCGCCCGGCTCCGCTCCCCCCCGCCGCCGCTCCCGCTCCCTCTGCCCGCCCGCTCTCGCTCTCGCTCTCCCTCTCGCTGTGGTTTTTGTAAGGTAGGTTGCAGCGCGTGTGTGTGTACACAACATCGAGAGCAGGAAAATGGACTCATTAGGGAGGCAGGCGGTCGGGAGCGCTCGCGCTGTAGTGCCGGGGAGACGGAGGCTATGAGGAGGCAAACTGAGGACGGGGGAACAAGGTAGGCCAGCCAACTTTTGGAAAAAAACGAGGGGGGGCGGGGGGGGGAAGCCCGAGCCCCGCTCCGCTGCGCCCGGCGGCACTTCTTTCTCCGGCCCCCCACCCGGGCTTTAATTTGGAGATGCAAGTTTGGCAGAGCCCAGTGCCAGCCCGCGGCCGGGACCACCGCGCCGAGGCCTGACCCTTGGAAACGTGCTTCCCCCCTCCACTTATCTCAGGGTGTGCCCCCTACGATTCACTTTAATCACTTTCTCTTTTTTTCTTTCTTTTTTTCCCCGATGGCGAAGGAAACAAATGCGTTTGTTTTCCAACACCGCTTCCAAGTAAATCAATATCTCGCACTCCTGTGAGCAGCCCTCCCCGCCCGGCTCGCCGCTTTCCTCCTCTGTTTATGCACTTCCATCTGTCCGTCCATATATCATCTCCTCCTTATTTACCGCTAAATGGGTTTTATTACTATTTGCCGACGACTTCTGCCCGCAGCGCCGGCGACGGGGGTGAACGGGGACTCTTTGTTGTGTGGCTATATGTCGGCTATAAGTTTGAAGTCCAGGCTCGTCATGCGTTAAAATAAAAGCAGAAAAGAGAAAGCGGAGAAAGCAGGTTCCACTCCTCCTGACAGGGCTTTATCCGGAGGTTTTGTTGTTTGTCTGTTTGCCTGCGGGGGCGGAGGGGGTTAATTCGGGTGATCGCACATCGACTTTTTCCTCTCGGGTATTTTTAACGTCTATTTTTCATTATTAGTATTTTTCCAGTTTCCTTTCCTGGGCAGAAAGGAGACGCAGATCGCAACTTTTGTCTCTCGGAGCTGATGTCACGTTATGGAGGCATCGCCGGGTTCGGAAGGACCCCAAACTTTGGCGGAGGGAGTTGTTATCCTCAGCTGCCCCCCACCCTCTGCTCCGCGCTTCCGTCCGTGCCGGCAGGGACGGCAGGGGGAAGGGAGGGGATATTTTTTTACAGCGGTGGCAAATTATGAAATCTATCAAGCCATTTTGTCCAGCACGAGTAACTATTTATTTACCTTTTTTTTTTTTTTTTTAAATTTGACCAAATATTCCTGCTTATTTGTCATTTCAGACCTTGAAGCTTTCCTCTGAATTAATCCTTATTGTATTTTATTTTATTTTTTTGTGGTTGGGGAGGGATGTGTGATGCATTTCGTCTCCCACTGAGCACTGTCGAGTTTTGGAGCCCAGATTTACTGTGGGCTCTCAGGGCTGCTCGCAGTGATCCATTCGAAATGGTCCTTTTATGTGAGCTCCTGTCAGTGCTGGTGGAGGGCTGAGCTGCTGCTCTGCCGGTGACAGAGAGAGAGGAGAAAGGACAGAGGCAGCCGTGGAAGTGAGTTACATAAAATGTTCTGGAGAACCCGAAGTAATTATGTAAAATGGACGCTGATCGGTGGAGGTCTCTCCATAACAACAATCACCTTTTTAAAGAGAAAATAATTTATTTAATAGCAAGAGGGCTGACTTCTTAAAAAAAAAAAATAAAATAAAATGCATTAGGCCTTCCTCTTAGCACAAAGAAGTGCATAGAGCAGTATTCCCAACCCACCTGGGACTGCTTCGGAGATCCTCCAAAACCTTCAAATCCTTTAAAAATATTTCTTAAAAATCCCTCTTTTATTATTTTATTTTTTTTTTTTGCAGCCAGTGCAAACTTCTGCTGCCAACAGGTTTTTGTGGCTGTTGTTGCACTGTTTTTCTCGCTGTCCTTTAACTTGCAGCTCCCCGGTTGCAGCTGAAGTGCCTCCCCGCTGAACAAACTAAGTTAATTGAAATCCAGAGCAGCACATCTATTCACTGGCACGACAACTGCTCAAACTACTTGCTCCATTTTATCCAAAGCTTTATTCCAGAACCTGAGCGAAACTTTTCAAGGTTTTCTCTATCACTGTGCCAAGAACTGGTGGCTTGTCTCTTAGCTGAGGAATGGCATTCATTGATTGCTTTTTTTTTCCCCCCCCCCTTTTTTTTTCTTTCTCTTTTTTGCTTTTCTTTTTCTGCTTTTCACTCAGGCTTCTACATTAATACTTTGTTGATAGAATTCCAGTGCACTCATGGCTTTGCACTGCCTCTCCTCCCAGAGCTCAGACCTCCAGCTCTGAAGCTGGGACGTGGGGTCCCAAAGGCACTGTGGTCACCTGCAGAGGGACAGCTGATGTGGCCCCAGGAGGGGTGGCTGTGGGTTCTCTGGGGATGTTCCCTGGATGGATGGCAGTGCTTTTGGGCTCCTGGTGTGTCTTCTGAACTTGCGCAGGTGGGCAGCATCCCACTGGAGGGCAGCAATCCTGGCCCTGGGGGTCTCACCCTTTAGCAGAAGCCCAGCCTCACCTTAATGTTTCAAATAACTTTCAGAATGACTGTGATATATCTCTGCATTTTAGAACACCCCTACAGGGAAAGAAACATTTGAGCGTAGAAAGAGTTGGAATAGGAGAAATGTTTTTCTGTATGCAGCGAAGTCTCTTTAATCTTGAAAACTTTTTTCAGTAGAAGAAATCAATTTACTTTGAAATGGCTTATTCTTAAAAAAAAAAAAAACAAAAAAACAAAAAACTCTTTGCCCTTTTGATGGCACAAAGTCCATCTGCAAACTGGGCACAACAGCAAAGGCTGCAGCATGCTTCAGTAAACTTCAAACCAGCGTGCGATGCTGGGGCTGGCACCCAGCGAGTCCAAGCCTCGGGACGGTGTGGTCTGCAGGGCCGGTGCTCCTGGAACTGCCTTGGCTCTGGGTGTGCGTTGTGCGGTGCAGAACAGACAGTGATCCAGCACCCCCATACCAAGGTAGTGCCCCGGAGTGGTGGTTTTGTGCCTCGCCGTGTCCTGTGGCCAGAATCAGTTTGGAGCGGGGCTGCGTGTGTGCTCCTGTGAGACAGAGCAAGGCAGCTGGGGCTGTGTGTGTGTCGGTTTGGGCCGCTGTTTGTTGTGGGTTTGCTGGTTTGTTGTTTTTTTTTTTTCCCCAAATGAGGCCAAAAATGGGGAATAAGGCGGTCAGATCCAAATACCAAACAAATAGCGAGCCAAATTAATTTTAATAGTGGAGGATTTTGCTTTTTTCTTACAGGAGGAAAAAAATACGGGGTTTGTTTATTTTGATAAAGGCAGTTGTAGCAATTTCCTGAGTTGGATATATCATTATTGTAAATATTGCTCATGGTTCTCTTATTTTCACATTTTCTTCATAGGCCCGGCTTATTCATAAGGGAAAACAGCTGCAGAAAATTAGAAAAATGCATTATTATTTATATAAAACTTTGATGTAAATAGGGAACAGTGTCCCCCACTACAGATTTCTGTGGGATGGCTTACAAATCCCATACAAGAAAGATTACGGTCTTACATAAATTGTTATTTAAATCATTTCAAGAGAATCCCGTTTGTTTTTGCAGGCCATATGAGTCTTTAGCAGCACGGTTTGAATAGGACTTCTGTTTAGAAATGGATGGCATGCTGTGGCCTTACAGATCTGAGCCGGTTTCACTCTTGTCCCATTTTATAGGGCCCTTTTACAGGGTGATCTGTGTGGTAAAGAGCTCCGCCTGAAAGAGATTTGTAAATGTTGATGGAAAATTAAACACTGAAATTTAACTTCAGGTTACTTCATCGGTTTGGTTTGGTTTGGTTTGGGTTTTTTTTCTTTAGCAAAACTTTCAGAAAACCCAAGCCCTTTATAGACGTTTTTTAAGATTTTTTAAAATGAAATAATGCACTGGAAATAGTTGTTTTTAAACAATAACTTGTTCCCTCTGTAGAGTCGGCAAGTTCAGTCCGTGCTGCAGAGAGAAAAGGATGGCAAATCAAAGTGAAACTGACTTCATTGATTGCTTGAGGGTGGCCCACGAAAATTCTGAAAGTAAACAAACAGCATCATCTATGGAAAATAAATTGGCTTTTTATTCATCTGGCCATTCCAATAATCCCAGCTCCTCGTGCTAAAGAGCAGTGCATAACTGTGCACGAAGTTTGAAAGTATCGTGGTAATATTTGTACAGTCTTAACTTGAGCAGATTTACATGGGTTGTTCAGAATTTCAGTAAGGAGTGAATAAAGGCAAAAGCTTTCGTCTGGGACAGTTTTTGCTCTGACAGTGTTGCCTGTGTTCCTTGCTATTATTTCCCTTACAAGTTAGCAGTTGGTTCTGACAGCAGCAATCCAGTCCTCTTTAAGAGGTAAGTGGCATTTTGGAATGCTTACTTCCACTCCACATTTCCACGTCTGTATGGCTCAGGTGTCCTGTTTCCCCATGTCCCATGAAAGCTTTTTGCCTGTCTATACTGGTGGCAGCTCAGTCTGGGAGCTGCTCTGTTGGAGTGGTCACTGGGGTGGACATGATGCCGGTGAGACGCTGCTGGTGGCCCCACATCTGCAATGGAGTGGGAAGGAAACAAGCCCAGCTTCTGCCCCATACATAGCAGCTTCTGTGTCTTGAATAGTTAAAGTACAGCAGCGAGGGAATGGGCTGGTTAGATAGGGCTGCCTCTAAAAAATATGCTGTTCCTGTGATGGCTGGGGTTTGGCTTTGGTGTGGCGAGAGTGTTGGGTCGCAGCCTGCCCTGTGGGGCAGATGCTCACAGTAGGAAAAAGCAAGCCAGTAACGGAGCCGGCACTAGGTGGCACTATGGAAAGAGAGGCCACGGAGCGTGCAAGCACAAAGAGCGAAATGTGGTGGTGCCAAGCAGGGGTCCCTTCCCACCAGCCCCGGGGAAGGCAGGTGTTAGGGCTGCTAGGGCTGCAGTCTGACCTCGCTTGCTCTGCTGCAACCCGGCTCTGCTCCTCAAAGCCCCTTAGCAAAAAGAAGCATTCCACAAGAAGTGAGTTCTGCCAATTCAAGCACTGGCAGCGTCTTCAGCACTTCGTTCTTAGTGCAGTGCTATACACCTTTCCTTGTGCTGTTGTGAAGTGAGCACAGACTCCATTCTCCAGCCAGTTTGCATGAATGTTAAGAGCAGTACAAAAGCTGAGCTCAAACCAGCACATACTTCCTGCAGCT